TTTGCTTCAGTCAATCTGCACATCCATTCCTGTCTATAAACCTGCTATTTCAATCACTAACCTGTTGTCTCTGGCTTGATCTGTGACAATGTTTCATATCGTTCGGTATCGATAATTATTGAAATTTTTTATAATCTTTTTTTAAAAACAAAGAGCAATAGAAAATTGTTTTTTTAAATTTAACCACTGTATTTTTAAATTAACCCAATCTATTGAGACAAAAAACTAATATTTTTTGTTTTAACAGTCAAACACAAAATAAGAATTAAACATACAGTGGGTACGGAAAGTATTCAGACCCCCTTAAATTTTTCACTCTTTGTTATATTGCAGCCATTTGCTAAAATCATTTAAGTTAATTTTTTTTCCTCATTAATGTACACACAGCACCCCATATTGACAGAAAAACACAGAATTGTTGACATCTTTGCAGATTTATTAAAAAAGAAAAACTGAAATATAACATGGTCCTAAGTATTCAGACCCTCTGCTGTGACACTCATATATTTAACTCAGGTCCTGTCCATTTCTTCTGATCATCCTTCAGACAGCAGCGGCGCGTCTCGTGGGCTAGACTAACAAAATATTAAAATGCAACAACGTCACTTACATCATCATCACCGCATCTCGTGCGCCACTGATGACGCTCCCTGACACACACTTAACATTTGATTGTACTATTTTTGCATTGAAATGCAAATGTTTATTTTAAATTCGACTAATATTCATTCTTTATTCACAATCTCCTCATGGCAGGCAGGCACAGCACTCATTTCAGCATGTGTTCGTGTTTGTGTGTGCTGTCTGCGAATTCCACAGGAAAACCGCGGACTTGGCAACACTGTGACGGATAGCAATGTCTACAACAGACACGACCGCTGTCGCGGCGCGACCACAACAGCTTGAAGTTGTGCTGCACTAATAGTAGTAAGGCTTTCCTCTGTGTATACATATCCTTACAAGTACAATTTGAGCTGTATTATTTGTGTCCCCTTCAAAAATTGCTCGAGAAATTTTGTGTTATTTAATTTTATGCTACTTCTGCAGCAAATGTAGCTATTGCTCATTGTGAATTTTAATGCAGTATCTAAGGTTAACTAATGAGATCTTATTGTAAAATGGTACCTATTGGTATTTATAATTCATTTGTACTTTAATCGGTTTAATTTTTACTTTATACATTTTTTGTTTATTGCTCTATTGTATTTAAATGTTCAGTTATTTTTGTTATAAGAAAAAAGTTATTAAACTTGTTATACTGTATTATGACAACATTTTTTTGCAACTAAATTTCAATACTGATTGAAATGATAATACCTTGATAAAAGCATTAGCAATTAATCGCAACATGAAAATCTGATACCGGCATATCCCTAGTACTGAATTAGTATTTAAAAGGCATTCTCAAATAAATTTTGAATAGCACAGCTCTTTGGTTCTATAATTACTAATTTTGCATATTGTTGAACTTGAACTTGTCGTTCTTGGTTCATGGTAATATTACTAAATTAAGAACATTATTGTATTAATTCCACTTTTATAAAACAACAATCTGCTAAATGAGAGCAAGGCACTTAAAGGGATGCTTCACTCATCATTTACTCACCACTGTACTATTCCAAACCTGTATGAAAATTATTTTCCTCAGGAGATGTTTTCAGTTTTGCATGTTAAAGGGGTGGTTCATTGCGATTTCACGTTTTTAACGTTAGTGTGTAATGTTGCTGTTTGAACATAAACAATATCTGCAAAGTTACGAAGCTGAAAGTTCAATGCAAACGGAGATATCGTCTTTTAAAATTCTGGCATTTTAATGCCTACAAAAAGGGCTGGTAGGGACTACAAGAAGTTACTTCCCGGGTTCGTGACATCACAAACCCTGATAAACCCCACCCTCGGGAAAAGGCAGCAAAGGGGGCGAGGCCATGCTGCGCTGCTTTAGAGAAGAGGAAGAGAAAACTAGAGGTGCACGTAAAAATCTATTCATATATGAATTGCGATTCTAATGGATTCACAAGTTTCAAAATCAATGTTCTAAAGCAGCGGTTCTCAATCCTGTTCCTCGTGTCCCCCTGCTCTAGTCTGCACACGCTCTGCATCTCTCTCTCCCTCTCTCATTCAGCTCAGCTATAACAATGAACTGTTCAAATTATACACTTATTTTCACATAGCTATGAGAAGTGTTAAACATGGATGCGCGTGCAGTTGCCGTACTCTATTAAAGCTTTAATAAAAAACAAAAACAAAGCTGCTTTGCAATGATTTGCATCGTGAAAAGCGCTATAGCAGGGGTGGCGAACGTCGGTCCTGGAGAGCCGCAGCCCTGCAGAGTTTTGCTTCAACCCTAATCAAACACACCTGAACAAGCTAATCAAGGTCTGAAGGGTTACTAGGAAGCTACAGGCAGGTGAGTTTTTATTAGGGTTGGAGCTGAGCTCTGCAGGACTGCGGCTCTCCAGGACCGGAGTTCGCCACCCCTGCGCTATAGAAATAAACTTGAATTGAATTGAATTGTATTCCAAAGCGATTAAATTATGACAGAATGCTTGAGGTTCGTCCCTATTAAATTCATTGCACTGTTCTATGGTGACATCCCATAAAAGTTGCGGAAAACCCCTTTGGTTTGATAAACAAAGATTATTTAAGACACTGATGTTGATATCTGTACTAATACTGTAATACATTTGTTTTTATGTCTTACTGAAATGTCTTACTGAAAGACAGACATTTCTAAATCATTTTACCACAAAATGGAAATGTGTTCCTACCAACTATCACTGAAAGACAAGAGCTACTCCATAAATGGAGGGAATGACTGGTGATGTTCTGAAAGCCGCAGACGGCATGTTGGATCCGTCGGAGACAGGCCACAAAATGGACAGACTGCGAAAGAACACTCTAAGTCTTGGTTTACATTAGATCGTGCCTGAAGAGTAGGAGATAAGCATCTTCAAAAGCTGCCTGGCGAACCTCAGCTATTAAACATACGAAATAATCATTTTATTATTGGCATACCGCTGACGGCGTGTGCTTTGCACAAAATCCATCTTGTAGCGAGATTGCGAATTCTAAAAGAAACGAACTCAGTGGAAACTAAACCACGTGGGCATTCGCACTTGGTTCCATCTACCAACGTTTTTGGGTTCTTGTTAAAACATGCCCTTATCAGCAGCGTCTTTAAGTCTTGGAACACCCTCTCGTCAAGCCAACGGGACTCACAGAGAAGGCACACAACTGAGAAAAACACATTTTAGAAAGGCAAAAAGATTCCTTGGCACCTCGTAAGTCCTCTTATTGAGTTTTTACAAGATGGTCTGGTGTAATTTCTGGCCTGCGCTGCCCAGTTCGTGCCATCAGTCCAGTGAAGCATAACAACAGTGCGGCACTTTATGCTGAATGCTGTCATGACCTCAGTACAGCATTAATAGGCCAAAGAAGGTCCAGGGCATCAGATGGGAAGGTGAGCACGATGTCTCACTCTATTGGGAGGTCTCTGTGCCATAACCAATCCAAACACACGACTGCTTGTTCCTTTCAACTTTATCTAAACACTACTCTGAGGAATTACTAGTGAAAAAACGTTGCCTCCAGCGAGCAATTCCCTCCACTCAGTCACAACCGCACACGCATTGGGGTTCGGCAGACTCCTCTATCACCGCGTTCCTCCAGGTGTTGTTGTTTTTTTCTAGGAATGATGATAATTTCAACTTGGTAAATGGCTGACAGGAAGTAAAGTAATGTGTGGTTTTTGGATTTACATCATTCCTGTCATAATTTATTGGGGAAAACCTGTGAGATATGATGGTTCAAAATATTTTAAGCAGGGATTACATCAAAGTAACACTAAAAGGCTTGGATGTTGGGAACACAGACCTTATTTATTGCAATAATGTTAGAACTTCACTACCTTTCAAAGGTTTGGGGTCAGCAAGATTTTCTTTTTAAAAGAAATGAACACTTTTATTCAACAAGGATGCATTACACTGATCAAAAGTGACAGTAAAGACAATTAGAATGTTACAAAAAGCTTCCACTTCGAATAACTGCTGTTCTTTTGAACTTTATATTCAAAGAATCCTTAAAAATGTATGATGGTTTTCAAAAAAAGTATTAAGCAGAACTGTTTTCAACATTGATAATGATAAGTATTGTTTCATAAGCATCAAATCAGCATATTAGTATGATTTTTGAAGGATCATGTGACACTAAAAACTGGAGTAATTATGCTGTTAAATTGTAATAATATTTCACTTTTTTACTATTTTTACTCTACTGATCAAATACAAACTTGGTGAACACAAGAGACTTCTTTCCAAATTATTAAAAATCTTACTGACCCCATAATTTTGAATGGTTGGTGTATGACAAAAGTTTGAATAAAAATAGCAGGATTTGATTTTACAAGTAAAAACAAATGTGGGTGGTAATCAGAATTCTACAGCTATGAAAAACAGCTATGATCCTCTCTTACCAGGAAAACATGGTCATGATGCTCTGGTTGACGGCATTGCCATGTAAATATGTGGTTGAGTACAATGCCATGTAACTGGCGCCAAGAAATTCTGAGACATTCTATTAGAAACCGTGAATACTGTGTAACACCAAGGTATTGCAAACTGGTACTTCCCTGTGCAAAAATCACCAACACAAAGTGTCTAGATATAGCTCATGTTCCTCTTTTAGAGCAAACCTCTGAGCCAGTTTTCTCAGCCACCGGGCGAAAATTGTACATTCAACTGCTCAGAAATGAGACACGAAACGTCATCATTAATGTCCGCCAAGGTTCAGGGTTCGTTACAATCCTTAAGCCTAAATATGGCAACTGGAATATTGATTCTTGCCTTAGCAAGCACCACTAATTTCTAACAATACATGACTTCCAGTTAACCCAGTGTAAAATATGGTTTACTTTACAGTCTTTCACCATGCCGGCACTTAACTCATAACATTTTCCACAGACCTGCAGAGGCAAAAATGATTATGAAACTCATTGGTTTCACATTTGGTTTGGTTTTCGATGGCCATCCCCCACTCACCGTGCCGCTGACTCTGACATCATACAGGCGTGCCCATTCATCCTCATGGCTGTCCACCATCATGACGCTGTCCTCCTCCTCCGAACCCCATTCTGCCTGCAGGTCCAACCGTACCTCCTCGCCGAGGGAGTGCATGCCAATGGCAGGGAAAAGCCCATCTGGAGCCACCGGCACCACCACTGACCCCACCTTCCATTCACACACATATAAAGAGAGCTCTGTTAAAGCATTCCATAAAGTTAACCACTATTTTACAGCACATTATAACTGAGAATAAAGACTGCTCTTTGAAATGATGTCTGTATCACTCCTGACCCTACTATCTGGCCTGCAGGAAAACCAGTCATCAGAAAACAACCCTCAATTTGAAGACTAGACTATTGTGTGTTCAAAGACTTTATCTCTACAGATTCTTGTAACCACTGTAATGGAGTAATAAACAAAACCATTACACACAATAGACTATAGAACTCATAGTTTGATGCAGATGTTACGTGATTAGCTAAAGAATGCTTAAATCTATAGTGTCTAATTATTTTTACATGGGGTTGGCAAAGTTAACACTTGCAATTGATTAAATGTGTTTAACACTGTTTTACTTTGCAATTTGGCGATTTTCTTATTTATGTAAATACAGAATTAAAGGGATGTTTAGAAGCTTTAAACTTAGATAAGTCTTAAATTTAATTTTACCTAAATCATCTCTAAATGTCAGTTCATTGATATATTTTATACAGTCAACATAACTACCATTCAAAAGTTCGGGGTCAGTAATATTTTTTAAAGGGGTCATATGATGCTGCTAAAAAGAACAGTATTTTGTGTATTTGGTGTAATGAAATGTGTTTATGCGGTTTAAGGTTCAAAAAACACATTATTTTCCACATACTGTACATTATTGTTTCTCCTCTATGCCCCGCCTTTCTGAAACGCATCGATTTTTACAAAGCTCATATCCAGGGCATTGTGATTGGCCAAATACCTCAAGCGTGAGACAGAAATGTTACGCCCCTTACCATACTCTGATGCCCTGTCCGGCCGGAGCGACGAGACAAAAACATTAAAGGGGTCATATGATGCGATTTCAAGTTTTCCTTTCTCTTTGGAGTGTTACAAGCTCTTGGTGCATAAAGAAGATCTGTAAAGTTGCAAAGACTAAAGTCTCAAATCCAAAGAGATATTCTTTAT